CAAGAACTAGAGACCCAGGAGCGAAACCGGCCTCTTCCCCTCACACACAGTTTCTCTTGCTGCAGCTTAGAGCAGACCCCAATTCCGCCTCGCGCCTCTTTATCCTTTCACAGTCTTGGCCGCAGCCAATCAGCCGCTGTAACCAACGCTTCCTCGTGCCAAGCCCCTCCCCCGAGCTTCCCATTGGCTTGGAACCCGATGCAATAATAATCTCCGCGTGCAATGAGAAGCTCCAAATCTGACCTCATTCCAATTTAGAGAGCAAACTTTTTAAAAGGGCTAGAAGTACAGCTGAGATTTCTGCTGCCTCTTTTTTCCTTTTGCTGTGTGTGTGTGTGTGTGTGTGTGTGTGCGCGCGCGCGCGCGCGCGTGTGAGAGGAGGATGTTAATGCATGAAATTATTAAGGGGAGAAACGGAAATGTACTCTAACCATTATGTTAGGTAACAAGGGGCTTAGAAGGGGGGGAAGGGTGAAATACTGTAAATGGAAGCTTTCTGCTTAAAAGCCAAGTGATTATTTTTATTAGTTCTTTTCAGTATTGGAATAAAGACTCAGTCTCCAGTGCAAAATCTGTTCCTTGGTTCCTTCATAAAGCCAACGACGTAAAAAGGGGGGAAGGAAAGCTACAACAATAAATCAATGGATATTGAACACCATTAAGAAAGTGGTACCTAGACATCTGTCATCACAATTATTTTAACAACTCTAGGTATAGCACAGATGTTGATGTATTGTGTAAATCCCTTCAGAGCGATTTTTGTGGAAGGCAGAAAAGAGGAAATTTTGCAATAATTACTTGCTTTCTTAACCAAACAGGTTTTTTTTTTTTAATGATTTAAACTCCTCTATAAATCCTAGATAACCCAAACAGAGGAGCTCTCTGTTGGAACACGTTAGGCAATGTTCCATAATTAATTCAATGGGAGAATTTCCATAGTTTTGTATAGGATGATAATGGTGAGTAAAGGACCAGAATCAATTGTGTACTTTTTAAATATTTGTTTTCATTTTCAAAATGAAAGATTATTTCACACTCTGTCCTTTTCCCCATTCCCATGAAAACCCTCTCCTTTCATATATACATTCATTTCTGTATATTCCTCCACAGATGGAACTGGAAGCCCAAGGCAAAGAGAAACTGTAGAAGGTGGTAACTAGTAGCAGAAGAGAATGGAGCCTGTGGATTTATATTATACCTGGCTATTGGTTCTTCTTACTGGTTTTTGTAGCCCTGGAGATGTGACCAAGTCTCAGTTTTCCTCCTCGGATTCAGGAACACTAGGAGCTACTTTATATGGGGTTGTTGTAAGGGTTCAATGACTTTGATATATAGTAAGCCCTCAGCGGATGCTGTTATCCTTCCCTTGATAATTCAGATGCTTGAGACACTCCAAGTAGAAGCATCCTATTGTTAGGAGACTAGAATTAAATATGGCTACTGATGTGAAAAAAATAATCACAGATTGTGGATGTGAACCACCCAAGGACAGTAGTGGCAACCCTGTAGTTCCAATGATTTTAAAAGAAAGGAACTTTGTGAAGGCCACTGTGACTAATGTGGCAAAGAAAAGGTGCCTACTCAGAACACATGTTAATGTGGCCACAAAAATTACCTTTGTTCCAAGGTGTGAAAATTAGAATTCTAGTAAAAAATTGGTCTTCCCTAATACCATAATAGTAAACTGTTTTTCTACAGGCCAGTGATAGGTGGTTAGGGAGGGCCAACCTAACATAATTAAGTCAGCTTTCGATTCAGATCAAACTAGTGCTAGGCAGCAGATTTCTATTTATCTTGTCAAACTTTTAAAGTATGTAGGCTGGCAAGAGGCCCAGGTTGTCAGATTTAGAATTTTACTGGAAAGAACACCCTTTGGAGACATCTGAGTGGATCTCTAAGGATTAACCACAAGCAAGAATGTTTTTGTGGGTAAAAGCAAAAAATATTTGACCATTAGTTACCCAAGTTATATACTTTTTCTTTTAGAAGGGGAAACAAATCTTAAAAACAAACAAAAAACATCACAGGCACATTTTTTGGGCATATGACAAAGTTGGGTGTGTCATTATACATTTTATTTTCTTTGGTATGCACACCAAAGCACAGCCCTAAATATTACCAATCTGACATTAAAATTAAGAGGTTTGTTTTTTGTAAAATCAATATTGTCACTAAAATAAAAAATTATAAATACTATACTTATTTTCAAATTTGTACCAGAAAGTGATTTGAGAGTGTAGCTATTTTGTGACAATTCAGTCAAGGTGAGTGAATTAATTATATTTCTAAAGACATTTGATTATATTTCTAAAGACATTTATGCTCTACTACTGAATATGAAAAGTGAAAGTTAAAACAGTCATAGTAATTTTGTTTATGCTTAAAGCACACATGTACCAAAAAAACAGCCACTGGGCTATTTCTATTCAGTGTATTTTCTGTGTTGCAACAAATCCAGTAGATTTTAAGGAACACCATTATTACATGCCACTAAGGAAGAAAAACTGCTGATTAAACCATGACATCCCCCAGTTGTAGGACATAGCCCTATTTCAGAGATACTGAAAATGAAAACATTCTTAGAATTGAAGAAATATAATATTAGTAATTTCCATTGACTTTATAAGATTATCAGTATATATGAATGCTTAGACTTCGGAAGTAGGTTTGTTCTTAGTCATTGTCTTAAAATGTAAGAAAACATGTGACATACAGCCTTTTATTAAAGTCATCTTTCTCACCTACTGAGTAAGTATATGCATGCTGGAATGTGTTAGGCCTCTGAACAGGAAATAATGAGAAAGATTTCTGCATTCTCATTACTTAACTTTATGTACTTTATAACCAGTTCTCCGTTACTGAGATTTTTTCCCCAAATACCAGATATTTGGTGGCCCCTACTAAATCAGTACTCAGTGTTCCCTCTGCTGGCTTTGCAGTACAGGAAGTAATTCTTAATAAAGCCATCTTTAAGTCATTTTAACAGTAAACCCAAGATAATTTTGCAAACAACTTTTCTGTTTTAGAGTAACAGACTAATTGTCTTTGTCAGCAATGATGGTAGACACTTCAAATTTTGAATTAAGGGAAATATTTTATTTTCCATTAAATAATGGAATTCTATTTGAGATCTGCTAATTCATTTCTTCTGCTCTCACACACCTGCGCAACATAAAATCTCACATCCATAAAATTGTATAGGGTATAGGTGGAAATAAGATTCTATCCCACTGCTTAATATATTCCTATAGCATAGAAAGGGAAAAACCTGAAGGGAAATTAGTTTAACAAATCTGGATTTGCACTGGTTTGCAAGATTTTGCCTTGTCTTGGTTATAGAAACTATGATTGTAAGAGCTAGGCTGACCTGACAAGTATTCAGTTCAAATAAAAATAAAGAAGGAAAAAAAAAAACTGTTACTTTAGCAGACAGGGAAGAAGCCCTGGGAAATTTGATGTCATTGGCCTTTGTCAACTGAAAGGCCCCAGGCTTTTCTGTTCAAAATTTTCTGGAAAAGAACTCTCCATTTGAGGCTGATTTCTCAAACATAACTTACACTTCATCCTTTGAGGCTGATGAAGTGTATTGGAACTGGACTTACTTTTGGTGGGTTGCATTGAAAAAAAAGTAATATGGAAGTATTTCTTATTTGCAAAATACCAAAATAGTATTCTGGAGTAGAATGAAATCCATGATATATTTTTACTCTTAGAATAAATTAAGAACCCCACATTCTCATAATTTTTACTGTTTTCTCTCCCCTTCTAACCAACCACTAGCACCTGATAAGTGTAAATAAGCACTTCAAGCCAATGCCAACTCATTTTCCTTTCCTCTCAATTTTCTGAAAACGAGTGTTTGTCTGAGCCATGTAGATTAGAAGCATGAATAGGAGCTTCTGCTCCATTTAGAAAGGCCCAGTCCAGGCACACCCAGGGGGAGCCCGAGTTTGCTCTGCAGCCATCCAGCTCTCAACCTGGGAAGGAGCCGCCGCCAGGTGGCAGGGCTGAGCCTCTCCTACACCGTGGAGGAGACGTGGGAAAACGTGGGGGATCAGACAGACTTTTCTCCTTCCTCCATTCCCGAACTCTCATCATCCTCTAGTATTCTATCTTCTTTAGTAGTATTTTAAACAACCAGCGGCTAATAGGGTGTGTCGGTGAATTTTGATGAATTTTTTCTTTCACAAATCAAATTTTAGATCAACCGATCTCTGCCTCCTGTTCATTTGTCAGAAGTCCCGCAATACTGGGGAAACCAGCCAGCTCCCGTTTGGATATAGTGACTGAACCCTGGAGATGGTCAATTACCGCCTCCGTATATTGCAGAGTTAGAACGCGTTTTCTCCCCGGGCAGATTTCCGTTTCTGAGAGCGGTGCAGAGAAGCAGCGTGCAATTACTTCAGGACCAGCAAAGGCCACTCCTTCTGAAAACATGGTTCCCGGGCCCAGGACACCTGGGCGAGCGCAGCGACCCTGTGGCGCAGGCCCCGCTCTTTCTGCCCGAAGCTGGGAGAGGATTCGGCAGGATTAACGGTGTTCAGCCTGGTCCCGCCTCGAAGGTTTCCGCTCCCCTTTCGATTTGTTACACGGAGGAAAAAAATTGGAATCGACTCAGGCTGTGCTTTCTGGAGGAAAGTCTTTCCTACTGTAAACATGTTTCAAGCGATCCTGTCAGCAGACTTTAACACCCATCTTCCGTTTAGGCTTTACGACCGTGGAAGGAGCTGAAGACACACGCACGCGCGCGCGCGCACAGCAGCCCAAGGGAAGAAGCCCCCGGCCGTGGCGAGCTCTTAGCCCCCTTTTAAGCTTGCAACTGGCCGCAGCTGGCGGGCGGGGGGCGTCATTCCCAGGGCGCTGGGCTCCTCCACCCCCGACCCCACCCCACCCCCAGAACCAGTTTAGCTCTGAGCTATGGTGCCCAGTTCCGTCACTGACCGGAACTGCCAGCCACTTGTCCCCTTCCTCTCTCTCTACCTGCGCCCTGGACGCCTAAATGCACTCTGAATGCTGCGCATTTGGGCCCCCACGTTCCGTCCAGCTTTCGACATTTGGACCCCAGCTGGGCATCCTTCCCCGGCTCCCCCAAGGCTGAGGCCCCACTGAGCGTGCGGCTGCCTGAGCTGTTTAAAGAGGGCAGAGCGGGGCGTGTGTGCGCGCGTCCCGCGAGGGCAGAGAAAAAGCCACAGGGAGGAGGAAAATTGACAATTTGTTGCTCCCTCATCCTCGAGCGTCCCCTCCCCAGGAACTTCGTCAGGGTAAGCCCTCCCTCGCCCCACGCTCGCACGGGAAAGGCAAGGTTGGGTGGCAAATCTCAGGGTCCGCGAGAGACGTGGAGGCGCCCTAACGTGCCAGGGGCCCTTGCCAAGGGGTGCATCAGTGCTCCAGTGATTCCACCCTCGTTTCAGGCCTGAAAGAGGGAGCTTACAGCAGGTAGATAACTGGTAGAGGCTGCGCCCCAGGCGTGGTTCTGCGGAACTAAGCTTTATGTAGAGGTTCGGCTCTTAGTGCCCCCAAGCATTAGCGTGTCTCTGCCTTTCTGCAAGTGTCCGGATGTGGCTAGCTACCCCACCCCGGGGCGTCCCAAAACCATCTCAGTGATTCCAACATGCGGTGTGGATGCGAGCACACCCCACAGAATCCCCACCCCCAAACGAACAGCTGAGTAGAAGCGATTATAGTTGGAGCCCAGTGGGGAATGAGCCTGATTTCACTACTGGAAAAGCCCTTAAACAAGAGAAAACCTAAGCCCACGTTTGCACACCAGTTGACCTACAACTGGAGCGTGTGCGCGGGCGCGCTGGGGTGGTGCGTCTGCGGGGAGGAAAGCCCGCTGGGGAGTGGGCACAGGAAGCAAAGCAAAGTGTCAGATAAGGAAAGAAAGGTTGGGGTGGGGTAGAGGAGGGAGGAAGAAAGGCGCGTGATTGCAGAGAGGCAGGTGGGAAGACTCAGACTGCAAGAACTGCCAGGTGACGCGGAGCTGAGAAGAAAAAAGGGGGGCGGACCGGATCTCCGTCCTCCCAGCCCTCTGCTCCCGGGATCTGGCGGCCGCGGCGGCCGACACCACGTGTGGCGCAGAGCTCGTGGTGGGGGCGGCGGGGGGCGGCTGGGGTGGAACGGGGACCAAAGAACTCTGCGCCCCAGACCGCATCGGCCGTGTTGCACACCTGGCATCCGGGACTCACCATCTGCTAGGAGTTCTCGGCTTCTCGGGCCAGGGGTGTGGACTTGGAGAGAGATAAAGACACTGTCTGGAGAGTGGGTGGTTTCGCGTCAGTCGCCGCTAGGAGCTGGGTCAATCAACGTTTACAATGCTCCTACTGTGTGCCAAGAGCATCCCCTCTCCCCTCCAGGTGCTGGGCACAGGAATTGCACAGTCTGCTGTTCAGTCACATGCTGAAGCTAGAAAAAGTCCTGCGTGTATTGTTGTTTAAGTTAACAATTCAAACAATGTATGCAAATTTGTGGTGCCAAGGAGGGTGGTTGAAGCAGTCTGGGGAAGTGTTGGGTCTAGCGGAGTAAGGTATGGACGTTTAGGGATTTTTCACTGCCTCCTGAACCATGAATGACCCCCTCCGCCCTTCCTGCCCCACATTCTTACCACACAGATATCAAAATAACAATAACAACTTAAAATATAGTTTAGTGACACTTCATCTGGGCTAGAACAATTCACAAATAACCGAAGACTGTCCTTTTTTAAAAAAAGATTTTATTTATTTATTTATTTTTAGAGAGGGAAGGGAGGGAGATAGAGAGAGAGAGAGAAACATCAATGTGCGGTTGCTGGGGGTTATGGCCTGCAACCAAGACATGTACCCTTGCTGGGAATCGAACCTGTGACACTTTGGTTCGCAGCTAGCGCTCAATCCACTGAGCTACGCCAGCCAGGGCTCGAAGACTGTCCTTAAAAGCTCGAACTTAGCTCATTAATTTCCCAAATATCAGACCCAAAACACTGCGGTGTTGTAACAAATGTTTTGTAATGTAACTATTTACTATACTGAGAGAAAATTAGTGGGTAATACAACTTATTGCACACCTCATATTTTAAAAAAATCAGCATAATCTACAATATAAAGGAGAAATACAAGATACAGAATTAATAATAAAACAATATACATTTCAAATGTGCATGCTTGGGCTATACTTTACTAGAACACCCAAAATATTGTCTAAAATGTTTAAAATTTTCCCTAGGGAGTACTACTGCTCAGATGTGAATTATGCACTATGATTGCCAGGCAAGTACTCAGTAATGGAAATGCTATTGATATTCTAAATTCTTAAGTTCACAGTGGATGTGGTAGATTTTTAGGATAAATCAGCCTCCTGGTATTCTTGCCTGGATCTGGACCCTCCGCCATTGACTCTGGATTTGCTTTGGCCAATAGCATATCAGCAAGCATGACCCAAGCAGAGGCTTGATATATACCACATATTGAGGTTTGTTCACCTGAAACCTTGAAAACGTGGTGTTGGGAAGAAGCTAGTCTTAGTGGAGGATGAGAGGCTTTATGGGGAGAGCTAGGATGCCTTGCCAATGTTAGGGTCCCAGGATGTGACTGAGGCTGTCTCGATCTTGAGTAGGGGTGTCAGATGGCTACAGCCACATGATTAATCCCAGATGAGTCCAGCAGAAAAGTCACTCAGATTGACAACCTACAGAATTGTGAGAACAGTGACCATTGTTTTAAATCACTATATTTTGGGTGGTTTGTAACATAAAAATAGAGAATGGAATAGTATTAATTACAATACAATGTGATAGTTGCCAAAATAAAAATCCACCGAAGAATGTTATCTTAATAACTCCAGGTCTTCATTATAAGTTTAATCAAGATAACTCATCAATGCCCATGGTGGATACAAGTTAACTAGACATCATCAACCCCAGATATCTTACTTACTCTAGTTGCAAGTTGTGCTTCTTCTCCATTTCCCAGGTTTCCCTGAAGTTCTTCCTCCCCTCAGGAGGCCTGCAGATCAAGCACTGCTGTGTTTCATCTCTGTCACTCCTGCTGTCTGTGGCCTTTCCTGGCTAGCTCTTTTGTCTCCACTCTTTTTTTTTTTTCTTTTTCCTTCTTCTTGGTCTCATTTGTCTCCATTTTCTGCAATTGCTTCAACATTTCTTTACTTATGGTCAGTAGGCATACCAACCATGTTTAGCCTTCAATAATTTGCTTTGCTAGTGTATATTGGCTTTTTTGCCATTGCTTCTGCTTGGAAATTTCTTTTCATCCATTGTTGGGGGTGGGATAACTATCAGCTCTCTAGACTCTTGAAAAGTGGAATGTTCACAGAGAGGATATAATTCTAATGTCATGGGATGGTGTATTAGTCAAAGTTCTCCAGAGAAACAGAACCAACAGAGGGCAGACAGATCTCAACTGTGGAGACAAATCCCCAAATTTGCAACCAGCAAGCTGGGGAGCCAATGGTGTGGTTCCACTCCAAACCTCAGGAGTCCTGAGACACAGGAAGAGCTGACGTTTCAGTTGCAGTTTTAAGGCAAGGGAAAAACAAAGTCCCAGCATTCAGGTAGCCAGGCAGAGGGAATTCTCGCTGACTGTGGGGAGAGTCAGCCTTTTTGTCCTATTTAGGCCTTCCACTGACTGGATGAGGCCCAGCCACATCAGGGAGGGCAATCGGCTCTACTCAGTCTGTTGCTTTAAATGTTAATCCCATACAAAAATGCCTTCACAGAAACACCTAGAATACTATTTAAACAATTATCTGAGCAACTCGCGGCCCAGTCAGGTTGATGTGTAGAACTATAACACATATTTTTCTAATTAAAATTCAGGCTATCCAAGAAGATATTATATTGAGCTACTATTAGGCAAAAACAGATTACAACATAGGTCTTTATAATAGGTTTTCTAGTAGGTTCAAGTAGGTTTTAACATGGGTGGGAGGAGCTGGGAGAGGGAAAGAGAGATCACTTTGAAAAGGAGAGGTTTGAATGTACTGCCCTCAGCTAAAGGATATGGTATGATAGATGAGAAAAGAAAAAACTAAAGATAAAATTTGCTACCCTCTTTAAACATATAGCTTTAATTTACTGAGACTGGAAAGTCCCTACTGTTAATATGCTAGATGGTATCACTAAAATTACTTCGAGTTTAAGGTATGATATAGCTTAATTCAGAATAAATATAGCTTTTTTAAATGTACAGGCTTCAAGGGTGAAATGAAAAAGAAAAAAAAAGGATTCGTATAATTCCATACCATGTAATTAAAGGATATGCTTCACTAACCTCCCTTCAGAAGTAATTCTATGATAACCATTGCCTATAATATCTAGTATTCTATACAACAGTTTTAGATTTGAGCCCAGCAACTCTCCAGAGTGGCTCCCTTTCTCATCAGTGGCTTAGGCAACTAGGCTGAATGGTTCCACTTCTAAACATGTGACCTCCATGGTTTCATGGAAAGGAAAGTGTAAAGAAATCTTACTCGTTCTTGAATGCCTCTTCCTGAAAGTGACACACATTATTTGTGCTCATAGCCCACAGGTCACACGTTGGCACATGGCCCTACATGAGGGCTGGAACCATGGCTCTACTCTGTGGCCCAGGAAAGAGGAAAAATGGGAATGGGCGAAGGCTAGAAATCTGTTCCATATTACTTGTGGAATCGATATACCTCATCTACATGTGCTATACAGTGAATTTCTTTTAAGTGAATCCTATTTTCTTTTCAGCTGCCTGTAAAAATCAGTTATGCTCCACCAGGAAAATTTTTTACCTGGAATAATGCTTTAGGATATTTTTCTTTTTTCTTTTTTAATGATATTAAGATTTACACAATTATTAGAGACATGAAAACTTCTGCTTCTGGGTGTGATGTGGCAGCAGCAGAAAGCTCTCACAACTAAAAGACAGAAAGATTACAAAAGTAATATTTTTAAAGATATTGGTGAGCTCTAAAAGCATTTAAGTCTGGATGAAATAAATTTAAAGAGAGAAGCTAAAAGTGCTAGCTATCTTCTCACCTGGCAGCATTTGCTGAGTCTGAGCATAGGCTATCATAGGAAAATAAAGGGGAAAAACAGAATTTTTTTATATCCATGTTGGTCAGTATGGATAAATTAGAATTTACAAGATCATCAAACAGCTCTTTTCCCCTAAAAGAATATTTGCTGAGTGCTAGGGCAGACTCAGCCATAAAGACAGAAAGAAATCAGTTACAGACCAACTCATGCTAGATAAAGGAGCATGCCAAAAACCCCCCCCAAAAACAAAATCAAAAACCC